CCGCTACGAAATCGAAATCGAAACCTAAGGGAAAAGGCAAAGGGAAAGCGGTTCTCTCGGAAAGTGAGAATGAGGACGACGACCCTCCTCGTTCGAGGTCACCTAACCAAGGCAGCCATTTTCCCGAGGACGAAGACTCTCGATGTGACAGTCCCAAGAGGGATTCTGAAGTCATTTCAGCCCCTGAGGCAATTGAGGTGCTCCATTTCCATATTCTTTGATATCCTTGCTTACATTCTCCCCAGAAGCTTCTCCCGCAAAGCGTACCTGCCCCACCAAAGCAGACTCCGTCCACCACTCTCAAGTCACGCGCTTTCACCATCAAATCCAAATCGACGCCAATGTCTGAGCTCATCCGGCGTGTCAACTCACAACCAAATTCACCGTTCTCAAATAGCCCTTCCTATTCGCCATTGGTGAAGTCTTCGCGAACGATGCTTTCGCGGATTGCACCGCTCCACCCCAACCGACGGACTCCTCCACCACCATTACCGAGACCACCCCCACCGAAGAAGAGCAAGAAGCAAATAGAGATGGAGGAGCGTATCGAGGAGGAGTTATCGGAGACTATTGAGGGATGGTCGTGTATGACTGACGAGGAGAGGAAGAACTTGCGGAGAGCGCGAATTGATGCTGAGTTGGGTTATGAATGATTCTGAGTCGTGTATTCTTATTCCTTATCATGCCGTTTAATTTTTTATTACTATGTATTGTGCAACTTTATGGACAACTTGTAATAACCTTGCTATCGAGACGTCCCGTATGGATCCGCTGATTCCACTCGCTCGATGGAGACTCATACTGACTCTCAGTGATGCGCGCAGCTGGATTCATGGTATCGGTTCTGCCACCCTGGCCGGGCCGGCGAGGCGCCAATGGTTCAAGCTTGCAAGAATAACTTGGCAACTTCATGGCTATCAATGTTTGTTTCGAACATCAAAAAGTCGGGCTTCCTCCTCTGCATCATTTTCAGCTCGGCGTTGAATGTCCAAATGCCAAACCGTATGGGGGGGAAAGTCGGGGATCGGCGAGAGGATCGCCTTTATTTGTCTCTACTATCATCGCCGTTGTAAGCGTTGCTACTTATATTGTGAGTGCTCACGAGAGTTTGTCTAGATACTACTGCTTTTCTAAGTTACTGATGGGGCGGCCTGCTCGGCCATAGAGCCATACTTAGACTGTACTAGCCAGGTACAGTGTGCTTACATGCTATCTGTGCCTTATTTTCTCCTCCCGTTCCAACCGTGGAGTCAATGGCGATCAAGTGATGATGATACCAGTGGCTGAATTAAACAGTGATGGCATCACCAACTGCGCACACAATGATTGAATTCGAATGCAGTGTGTGTCTTGTCACTGCACAGCTTCGCAATACGCTTGCCCATGTTTGGTATCCTTAGATGCGATGACCGAGGAAGGTGACTTAGAATCACGGCTCAGAGGTTTCCAGGAGGAACACGAGAGGTGTGCACTGCTTCAAGCTAGAGCAGGCGTCGGCAGCCCAGGTTGGACAAGTGAGGTGTCTATTTTCTCCCTTTGAACCTCCCCGTAGTACATTTCATTTCTGAGTATCTGAATAGACTTTGCGTGTGTTCCATGCGGGGGCTGGAAGGTGGAAAGACCTTGTCGATGATTAGAATGGCAGGAATTCTCGATGATCACTTATACTTCCGTGTGCAATCGTATCATGAGAGTGTGGAAGAATAAGAATATCTCGCGGATCGCATTTCGGAATAAGTTACCACGCCTACATCCACCAACTAGTGCAGTGTTACAACGAACTTTGATTCGATCAAACACCACCGGAACGACTTCCCCTTGCTACTTAACTCCATGCGACGTCACACGCTGCTGTCAATTAAGACAGCACCTAGGCTATAATAGCCATAAAAGCACTGCATGATATATTATCCAACACTGAGCACGACGTCGTACATATCGGATATCCACCAACTCGTTTGCTGCTCCCTCACACCATCCTCGACCAGTATGACCGTAGTTTCAAACGATCCCATTTGGTGGCCGTCCATCAATTCGTATCGTATCGCCAGCTATTTTATAGGTTCGTGAAAACCAGTCGGGCAGTGACTTTGTCGATCTAACCTTTTTGCAGTTGCCGCCTCTGCTGGGGTGATGTACGATTGGAGTGAGCAAGATAATATTGAAGCGCTACTGTTACTAATGTTCTCATCCCATTCCCAGCATTGACATTCGGACGTGAGGTAGGTTTATGCCATTACCAGAGCAGTCATGTCGCTAAGGATGGTTCAATAGGTTGAGCTGATTTGGGTGAGCAAAGTCCCACATCATAAAAACCAATATTCGATTTGCGGCAGAGACAAAACTGGTCCCTCATGACTGGGTTGTATCTCAGTGTATGTAGCTTGTGTTATAAATGTGGTTGGCAAGTTGTACTGACTTGACAATTTCCTAGTCGCGCTACCTTGGAATAATATACACGGTGTATGTTTCGAATGCTAAGTATTCGGTGCTGTGCTAATCAATCATATCTCTTATCAGCATCGGCTTGCTGGGTATGTCTCTTCATACACACGGCCGTGTCTGTTTCGTCTGACTAGTGGCATACAGTATATGTTCCAACAATCTCGTTGACAGATGCAGTGAGTATTCTGCACCGATGTTGGTCATTCCCGTCTAATCAGCTGCATTATCATGTAGGGGTAAGTGCTTTAGCACCTCCTTGGTGCCGTATAATGACTCCCACAGTTGTGAGTTTGGGTGGAGTATGTGGTCTTCCGAGGCTGATTACGAACTGGATTTGCCAGGCCATATTGTATATGTCATATCAAATTCGATAATCACAGTCGTAAATGCAATACTAGGCGGTGAGCTAGCAATTCATCAGTGATATTGACTTGGTTGAAACACTGTGCCAGTCATCATGATCGCTCGGTTGCATGCCATGTACCAGCGCAGAAAGATGCTGGTATTTCTCTCCGTCATCCTCCTGGTTGTCACAATCGCCAATGTAGTGGCCATAACAATAATAACGATGCATATGTCAGAGGGTAGGTTATAATTATGGATGAAAGACTTAATGCACCAGGCTTACTAATGAACAACAGAAGAGCTTGTTCTCTCCGGCACCTACCAGTGCTCTGTTGACCTTGGGGACAACACAGATCTATCTTATTTCATGTATTGGACGTTCATCACTGCATGGGAGGTCCTCGCACTGTGTCTCGCAATATGGATTGCTGTAAAACACTTCCGTGAACTGCAACGACCATCGACCGGATGGATTGTCAGGGATTGTTTCACGGCGTTAACGAAGAGTCATTTGGTTTACTTTGTGAGGTGAGCTCACAATGTGAATGGGATTCTCTTTTTCCGCTGAAGTTCTGCACGTGCTAGCTTTGTTGCTGTCTCTTGTTTCAATTTCGGTTATTTGTCTCCAGCTATCTCAGCGGTATGCTGATCTATCTGACTTCTGCATGCAACCGCAGTTGAACAATCTTATAGGAACCGTTTTCACTCGAAAACCAGATTTATCCGGGTCTCACTCAGATTTTCTTGCTTGTCCAGTTGTTTGTGCTAGGACCACGCTTGATACTCAGTGTTCGAGAATATCATGCTAAGAGCGTGGCCAATTCTGATGCAGCAATCGGCATGGCCTCAGGATATTTCCAGGAGCGCGTGTATGTGTCAACTAGCAATAGTGTGTAACATAGGAAGTGTTCGTTTTGATCTATACTTACTTGTCTGGTACTCTGCAGGGAACAGGAGGGTTAGTTTTGTACCACGTTTTATCGTAATGCTTATATATTTCGCGGTTTGGACAGGCAAGGACGAAAGACACCTTATGTTCGTCTATCGCATGCACAGCTACTGCTGAAGGAGGCAAACTTGAATTCAACGGTCCGTCATACGAGATATCGCACAATTCCCCCAATTCATCAAGAAACTCGAACGTCCTAAGTAATTCGTATATTGACACAGTGCAAGCATTCTGGATGTGATTTGTCCTAGATGCAAGTAACGATTGCGTGAGTCAAAATCATTAGGAAGTCAAAGAATTGTGACATGGTACATCTTCCGAACGTCCCAATCTAGCTCAGAAGCTCCTTTTCGATCCCAGACCTCAGCATAACTTGCGGATGTTGTGGCAGGTAGGACGGCATGGAAAGAAGAGACTTTAACGATATGTATGGTGAGCCTTCAAGTTCACGCGCGGCCACAGGCATTTTCTCGCGGTTCCCGACTCCTGAGGCGAGGAAGATAACGACGACGAGGTCACGTGCAATGGACGAAGTGAATTTGAAAAACTTTATTCATGACGGTCCAGCGAGTCCGACTTCTGAACCTATCTGACAGTCACAAAACGACCATGCTCCAAATGTATCTTCGTGGTCATAACTCCTTCAATTCGCCCGGGAGCTTGTATCCGGGATGATACATAGTAGTATCAAGCGAAGCTGTGGAAATCTCACTCCAAGCGTTACAAGGTACCGGAACTTATCGTGAGCGTCTTTCGAACCGTTCACTTAATTGTCCATCATGTCTTCTAATATTTCACATATCTCCCACCCAACGATAGCCTCGAAGATGCCTGCAACATTTTCGAGTCCCTTGGCCTTTCATTCTCTCCGTCTGACTTCCTTCTGTCAACGCAAGGCGACATATATGCTCAAGTTTTTACTCTGTCAATCGTACCCTTTGACATCCCTGTCTCTCACATCGTCTTATTCCCATTCTCATTCCGGGATTTCTCTCTGAGCTCTCTTTGCAATGATCATTGCATTTATTGCCTTCTCAGTGCTCAGACATCCTGGTACCAAGGCCCTCGGTCGCATGCGCCCCCATTATCCGCATGATACCAAAGATATGTTCTTCGCACAGCTCTCGATGCTGATTTGGCAATGTCACGTTTCCTCGATTATGCCATCGGAGGTGGTCATAGGGATCTTACAGAAGAGGAAGTCTGACGAAATGGAAAGACGAAGCTAGGAGAATTGGCCATATGAGGGATGCATTGGCGATGCGCTGGCAGCTATCGTTACTGGGGGGAATTACCTGACTGACCGCTGTCGTAGCCGTATACGAATATACAAATACTGTAAGTGGAACTAATGAAATCATTCAGATGATACACCCAATATCGAAGTATCATTTGAGTTTTTTGTTCGCAGATTCGCTGCAGGACATCTCTAGATTCTCTCCACGCAGTGTCATGCGCGTATTGATGGTCAATAATGCCACCAAAGTTCGACGTGATTGAATAGTCAGTAAGTGCTTATTGACCGACTTCTTTTACACGCTCAGAATGCACGATTCATTTACATATCAATTTTCGCTCTTAGGCAAATTCCTCATCTTTTCGTCATCCATACACGACGACCTCTCAACAGTCTCTGTCAACTCCTCGATACGCCCTCCATCCCTCTGTTTCTTGTCGGCGGTGCAACTTCGGTAGGGGTAGATGGGGTTGTCCAGGCTTGGAACGTCCACGAAGACGTGATCAATGACGAGTAGGAAAGGCCATTTGTAAATGGTGAATTTAGTTGCGAGTTTACCTGTTGGGCGAACTTTGACATTGGGACATGTCGCTATACTGTGATTCAGGCCTCAGGCCTTATGGCTGGATTTTGCAACATTGTTCAGTTCGTGTTCAAATACAAATTCCGTACCTCCGGAACTAATATACGTCTTACCTATCCTCGTACTACGAACTTCTACAGGTTGTGTTCAACTCGCAGTGGGATGTTATGGATGTGCGACAGGGTACTACATCACACAGGTTTGTTGCATTCAACGGCAATTTAACGGGGGACATGCAGTCCCTACTCTGAACAATAAGCTGCACTTAGCTGATCAGCCCGTGGTGCGAGCTGGCTTCACAAGGTGATGCTTCGTTCCATGCCAAATTGCCAGCGGACGTTGCTTGACAAAGTAGATCATATTAGGTGGCAATATGCTTGTCATTGACCTTGCTTCGGAAGGCTCCACGTCAAATTGCCAATAGAACTTCCTTCACGATATAGATATTAGGTGGCAAACAGCTGGAATTGCAGGTAGACTTAGTTCTGCCATATCGCTATAAGGAACAGTATTCAGCACGTAAACGCAAGGCGTCTTCTTACCTCCCCTTCAGATTTATCTGAGCCCGTATCAGTATCATTTCCTCACGAACAATGCGTTTCCCTTTGTACTCGCCGTCGTTGCTGCTTTGACAGCATCAATATCTGCCACTGACTCTGACAATATTGAGCCCTGTCTTCTAATGTGCGTGCATGATAGCGACTGCACAGTCTGCGGTGACTCAATTTGTGAAAGCATGAGTAGTTTGTATTTAACCCTGTAACTCACTGGGCGTAGTAGAGATACTTTACTTGCTGGCCCGGGCCACTCTAGTAAGTAGCAGTGAGTCATGTTTTCTGCTTTTCACATCTGTGCATTATGGTTGATGACACGCCCGGGCCACTCTAGTAATGTAGCAGTGAGTCATGTTTCTGCTTTCACATCTGTGCATTATGGTTGATGACACGACACGCGAAGCGATGGGATGCTCGACCATTGATGGTGGGATAAGGGCTTTTGTGGCGGCAGAAGCGAAAATGATCATGCAGTGGCGATGATGTTTACTTCCTTTGGAGAGGTTCCTGGAGGTTGAAAAGTCTTGTAGCGTTAGAGCCCTTGCAAGTTGACGGACAGATTGTACAGAGCCAGTTCTTTA